TTACTACGAACTAACAGAACTCCATTTACAACCAGTATTTTATGTATAGTCCTCTTAAAAATAAAATTTCAAACATGCATGGTAATTCATAACTAACACTTCATAACTTCTTAAACAAATTCCATGCATGACTTTATCAAATAAAGATCATTTAAACATATAGGAACAACTTTTTGATCAAAATAATATATTTTCTCAAAATTGAATGATTTATTTAGCCTAAAATATCAACAATGGAAATATTTATCAATAGGGATGATTAACTAAAAACATAAATAAAATATAATTTTAAATAAAGAAATTTTACTAATAGATTAGATGAAACACTATCACTTACCTGTAATATTCCCAAACACTAGATTTCAATCTTTAGAGATTCAACCAAATCTTCCTTTCTCTAAACACCCTAACTGATATAAAAAGAAGACTTGAAGGTATTTATTCGTGTTTGATAATTTTTTTCCAACTCTTCTCAAGCACAAGCAGCTAAACTTAATCACTCTAAAATTTCAAAGTTCTCCTATCACCAATTTTATTGAGCAACTTAGGTACATACCCAAAATCAAGTCTTGAAACAACACTATCATTTATAATCATCAACCAAGCAACTTCTCGAAATTCAATTAATCTGGCAATAGCATCATAATTAAGCTCAAGTTAAACTGAAGAATAAATAACACATAAACTAGATACGTTCTCATAAGAGTTACTGAAATTTTAAAAAAAGATACATAATTAGAAAAAACTCATCCTAACAGACATTTATTGAAAATCTTACAAGCATCAATCCTTAATCTAAAATTTCAAATTCTTTCTCTTCAAATATCATTCCAACCATTTCTAATACCAATATTTTAATTTATCAAACTTCCAAAATTTTCATTCCTCGTACCATAATCAATTCAAATTTGGCAAAAAAGAAAGCATCACTTGAACCCATTTTCCTTTTACAACAACGAAATGCTTACAACATGATTATTTACATAAATGAACTTCCCAATCCTCAATTTAAGTTTGCTTCAAATTTATCCTCATTCTTTCACCATCATACCAATCGACATCTTAAATAAAAGACAAGAAAGTACAAATTTTAGCCACCCAATATATATACTCATGGACTCAACAAGAAAAGAGAGAAGATGAACTCAGCTTACCAATGAAGTAAGGTGAAACAGAGATAGGGAATTGAAGATCCCCTAAACCGGATCACAACTTCAAAAGAGGGACTTGAGTTTGGGACTCCTTCATAAGATAAGGCTAGGTCTAGGTCAATCCCTTAAGTCTTGATTGTTGAACCTTGATTTTGATTATTAAAAAAATTTTGAGAAGTTGTTTTGTAGAGCAAATTTGTCAAGGTTAAGGAAAGAAGGCTTATGTGTCCAATGTCTTTGATCATTCTCAACCTTAATTTCTATTCCATTTAGAAATAATTATTTAAATTATTTCTATCCAAGAATTGATTCTAATCTAATTAGTACTATTTAAAAATCTTTATGCTGATCTTAAACCTATCAATATATGTCACATCTACCGGTATGACCCGTTTCTATCCAAAGATCTCTGTCCTACCCAACTGTCTCATGCTTATGTGATTTTGTCATTCCTTCCAGTATGTCCTAAACCTACCCGAAGGTTCTACTTCTACTGGTATATGTAAGATTTATCCAAATGTCCTCTCCTGCTCTCATATTTTCAATCTTCTGATCACTTTTACCAGTATATATGAAACCTACCCAAACGTTTTTTGTTCCCCCGATAGATATTAGCCTCAATCAACGTATTTTATGATTAATCCTACAGGTATATCATTCATCTACCGGTATGTGATCTTCTCTATCTTATCTAAAACCTTCATACGCATACCAGCATGTCCTAACATCTACCGATATGTCTAACGATTTCACCTCTATTTTTTGTTTCAAAAACAGAGCATCTTGAATCACCTTTAAACCATATTCTTTTCAACTTTAAAGTGTTGTGTTCACTGCCTTACATCTTCCTTACACCTTTAAACCTTCATACGTATACCAGTATGTCCTGACATCTATTGATATGTCATAAAGATTTTACCTTTTCAACTTTAAAGTGTTGTGTTCACTTCCTTACATCTATTGATTCCTATTACATCTTTTTACGTTGTGGTTGATTTTAGGCATTATTCCATGATTTTACTCGACTATGATTCTCACTGACTTTGGTTGTTCTGATTCTTGTTGATTATGGTTGTGCTAATCCTTGTTGTGGGTTTGTGTCCCCAATAAACAATGGGATAGGGGCATAGGGAAGGAAAGTGGGTAGGGGTAACATTGTCTTTTTGTATTGTAAAATAAATTTAGTCGTTATAGATTAAAAATTTTCTATCCATTTTTTCTATCATATTAAACATACTTTTAGAGCTAATTTATTTTTCAATTTTATTTTTATTTCTATCAAAATACTTTTCGCTAACCAAATAGAACCTTTAAAGTTTATTTAAGGTAAGATGAGATGTCTCTTCATTGTTCTTCGGCCTTACTCTACAAATAGCACAAGGAATACATCTCAACTTGGCCCATATAAGTTGGCTATAAGAACGGGCTAGGTTATGTTAATTGGTGAGTCAATGGCCAACCCACCAACCCGTGTAAGTTTTTTAATTTTTTTCTTTCATTAATTTCAACCACTTTTAAAACCTGAAACTAATTTAAAAAGCTGATTTTAAAATAGTGTTAATATTAACATGACATAACAAAAGCTCAAACTCCAAAACTCACAATACACCATTACATTATGTAAATTCATATTTGAATTAAATAAAATTAAAAAATAGAAAGGATCAGCTCGTGAGTTGAACGGGCAACCCATAGCTAAAAAATCAGTTTTTAATGGGCACGTTTTTTACTCTGCCGAACCCACACCAAAATGTGGGTTTATATGAACTAATCCAATGGATTGGAGCCATGTTTCCAGCTCTATTCATAGATGACTCAATCATGTTTCCAGCTCTATTCATAGATGACTCAATCATGTTCGCTAGTTATTAATTTCTTATTAATTTTCACATGAACTAATACTTTATTGAACTCATATAACTGTTTACTTTGCAGCATTAATATTGAGATTTGAGAGTCCAGATAGGCTTTTTTTTTTTTTTTCACTTTTCCCTGCACTTAGGCAATTGATTACTGGGGCAAGTGTTTGCTTCTTGCACAACTTGCTAAATTTGCCTTATTTTTAAATACATGTATGATTGATGCAGAATAAGAGCTTGTCTTGTTTCTATTCTCATTTTTTTTATTTTTAAAAACTGTTTTGCAATACAGTTTTCAAAATTGTTTTTAAAACAAAACAAAAGAAAAATCTGTTTGGTTGTCTTAATTTAAAAACAAATTTAGAATTAAAAAATTGATCAATAGTGATGATCATCAACGGTTAATTGCAACAACTTATGATAATTATCAATTAAGGTAACTATAGTTTTTAATAATCAAATATAATGTATTTTGAAAACAAGAAAAATAAAATAAAAATAACTTTAAAATGTTTCTTTAAAAAAAAACAAAAAATGAGATCAGTTTTAGAAATAATTAGATTCAAAAACATTCCTTCAAACAAGTTTTTTAACTTTTTTTTTAAAACAAAAAAATGGTTTTGAAAACAAAAACCAAACAGGCTCAAAGATTGCAATTTTTTTTATTCTCTATCTGGAAATTGAAGGAAAATACAATGTAGCAAACTAACAATCCACTGCTTTCAAATTTCTAACCACGGTTCACCTTTTGTGAGAGCCTGTATGCTTTCACTTTCTGTAGATTTTCATAAAATGATTTCTAGAAAACAAAGCAGGGTATCAAATTCTAATATCAGGCAGCACATGGAGGTTGGATTCTGTTGAAAACATATCTACATTTAATAACATCAAATTATTGAGGATGATTAGAAAATCCAGATAAGGGCAGAGAGATGCCAAGAGTTCATAGCAAATATGACCAAAATTGAAATTAAGTCACTAGTTAGAGGAAGAAATCTTAAGGACACCATCAAATATCAGAAATTACAGTTGTGCTTTCATCAAGTGAGATTTTATTAAGTTACATAAACCTTAAAATGAGTTGAGGCTTTGATTTGATAGTCTTACCATCCATCCTCTGCATTACTGTTGCGGCAAATAGCATGAGATCTTTCGTTGATAAAAAAATATTTTGCTGAACACTATCACACAAGATTGATATTTATAATTGCACTGCAACATATATAGATTATGAAATACCATAAATTCCCCATGTCCGAGCATGCAGACCACATGTTTCAACAAATTGATATGAAAAAAACAACCTGGGGGCAAGGGAAAACACACGATTCTGCAGAAATACGATTTATGGCTGATGCAAAAATATGAGGTATTTAAATCAGTTGATTCTCCCACATTAACAACTAGCTTTTGAGACAGGATTCCCATCCCACTTAGATACCCATCAATGACCAACTAAACAAAGAAATTTCTTATTTTCAAACAAAAAAGAAAAGCACATACTTTTCTCTGTTATACTGTTATTTGTATGATATTCCCTTCTTCATGATCCTTTGTATCTTGCCAATTTCCATTGTAATCAATTTCTGACAGCATATCTACATTTTTAATGTGATTGATCCTCATACACCATGATTTGTATGCAAAATATCTGTCTCTCCTTGCATAAAGCATTGTATGTATGCTATCAAAGGAGAGATTTCAGATAGATGGAAAAAAATTTACAGGCACTGCACAAAGAATTAGATGGGAGATACGGTGGTCTCTGGGTTCTCCAAATGCATGTGAAAAGTGCATGCGCAATGCTGGGTGAAGTGTTAGGGGAAGTTTTGTGCTATGAATTAGTTTAGGGTTTTAAAGGTTCGAAATGACAATTTTGTCAGCAAAAATGGCACAAATAACAAGTGAATTGAAACAATGCAGCCTACATTAATAAACCAACAAAAATTATTAAATTACTAGGGTTTGAGCCTTTGAGGTAGCACCATACCATATAGCAAGCAGAAAATACATTAATCCACCAGCCTTCCCTGGTGAATGATGCAAGACACTTGGAGAACTTTTTCAAAGTTAAACTGGAGACATAAAAAGAAGAAAAGGAAGTTAAGCAATTTGAAACCGCAGAACCAAAAGATCCTTGGCTGGCGAAGATAAAGCAATTTTAAGGACTTAAGAAAAATGCATAAAGAAATAAGGTACAGTGGATGTTATTTTCCCCAGAAAATTTCCACATATTTTGGCATTTTGTGGTCAGTATGACCTATGTGCAATCACAAGAAAATTCAGTTAAAAAGAGTTCAACCAAAGACGAAAAAATCAAAACAAGGAAAGCATCAAATATGCTATTAGAGTTCTGACATATCCGCCAGTCCTTCATTATTATGATCTGTTCTCATCTCGTTAAGTTTCATTAAGTTTTTTTGCAAAGAACACAACAACAACAACAACAACAAGCCTTTATCCCACTAGGTGGGGTCGGCTACATGAATTGCAAGACGTCATTGTGCTCTATCATTTATCAAGCTTTTAGGAATATTATTAATTAAGAGATCGCGTTCAACAACTTCCAAAAGTATTCTCTTAGGCCTTCCTCTACCTCTCTTAATCGGATTCAAAGTTATATGTTTCACTCTTCTCACTGGTGCCTCCCTTGGTTTTCTTTGTACATGTCCAAACTATCTCAACCGATTTTCTACCATTTTTTCCTCAATAGGTGCCACCCTCACTTTTTCGCGTATGTGCTCATTTCGAATTTTATCTTTACGTGTATGTCCGCACATCCATCGTAACATTCTCATCTCTGCTACGCCAACTTTATGCTCTTGTTGTCCCGTTAGAGCCCAGCATTCACTACTATATAACATTGCCGGTCTGATAGCAGTGCGATAAAACTTTCCTACTAAATAACTCCTTTAGCTTTTCTCCAATTAAACCACCCAGCTTGAATTCTATGTGAAATATCTCCACTGATTTCGCCATCATTTTGAATAATGGCTCCCAAATATCTAAACTTTTCCACTTGAGGTATAATTTGATTTCCCAATTTCACTTCCAAATTATTGTTGAATAGTCCTTTACCAAATTTACAATATAAATATTCCGTCTTACTTATACTCAAACAAAAACCTTTCGACTCCAATATCCTCGTCCATAACTCAAGTTTGCAATTAACCTCTTCTCTTATCTTTGCTATAAGAATTATATCATCCGCGAAGAGCATACATTTCAGGATTTTCTCTTGAATATGTTTCGTCAAAACATTTAAAATCAAGTTGAACAAATAAGGACTCAGAGATGATCCCTGATGTAGTCCAATCTTTATAAGAAAATCCTTTGTTTGACCACTAAGCATTCTTATACTAGTTTTTACCCCCTCATACATATCTTGTATGGTTTTAATATAAGCAATCCGTACTCCCTTTTTTTCCAATGCTTTTCAAAGCACTTCTCTTGGTATCCGGTCATAAGCTTTTTCCAAATTAATAAAAACCATGTGTAGATCTTTATCTTTACAACGATACTTTTCCATTAATCCCCTTAGTAGATAAATCGCCTCTGTAGTTGATCTACCTGGCATAAAACTAAATTGATTCTCAGAAATACTTGTCTCCAATCTCAACCTGTGCTCAATTACTTTCTCTCACAATTTCATTGTGTGGCTCATGAGTTTAATCCCTCTATAGTTAGTACAATTCTAAATATCCCTTTTATTTTCACTTGATTCATTTGTTTTTAAAAAATTACTGTTGTAGCTATCCTCACTGAAATGGTAAATTTTAATTGCCAAATTCCAGTAGCAGTAATACATTACAGAATATGAAATTCCATGAACAGCATTAGGGATGGAAAAAAATTCGCAGAGTAGTATCAGTACAGGAAAAGACTTGTCAAGCAGAATACTCTTAAGACAAAAAGTTTAAGCAGGCAAACAACTTTATAAGATCATGTACATGATAACGGGAAAAAAATTCTGAAACTTGATTCAAGTGCAAGTAAGTAACATAGAAGGCCTCAGAATAGTTTCAATTTACATAAATCTGAATCTTATGACTAGCAAGCAGATACATCCAGAACACCTGTTAATAACAATCAAAGCGGGCAATATAAATATATTGCTGCGGATCTGATAAAAAATAATAAAAGCAAAAAAAGGATGAAAACTTGGGAATCTTAGCATTCATGTTCAGGCGACCGAGATCGAAATCTAAGTCTGCCCTGAACTTCTTACCAAGTTAATTCATTAAAATTCAAGCTTTTGCTAGACATCAGGTCAGCAAAACAGAACTAACCCTCAAGGAGAAAAAGAAACCAGAATTTCAGAACATTTTTTTACATCTATTCTTCCTATTTATTTACTCAATAACTAAATAGCATCTTAGTAAGATCTGATTAGATTTATCGAATTAAAGTAAAGATAGTTTGACACGAATTGAAGTAAACTAAATACCGAACATAAAACAAGTCGAAAAGGAAAATAAAAAGAGCTCTGACAATCAAAGCCTCTTGGCGAATAGAAAAGATTGTTTGAGGCAGAGAGAAAGTGAAGTTTTACCTCGGAAAATTTTATTCATGGAGCTTTCTTTAGATCATCGATTCCAACGACCTACAAATCCTCATTGGCTAATCAAGCGCAACTTTCTTATCTGAACGATGGTGCTTGGCGTGGAGGAGGAGAGGGAAAGAGACACTGCGAGACAGTGACAGCGGATTTTACTCGGAAGGAGACCGGGGAGAATGGCAAATGTAGACCGCATGAGAACATTAATATCAAATTAAAATTTTTTCAACGCTATAGTTCTAAAATTTAATACTTCTACTTTCATATTTTAATATTAAAATTTTTAATTTAATGTTAATGTTTTTATAAAATCTGTACTTATTATTTTTTCATGAGTGACTGCATTAGCTAACGTGGCAAATAATGCGTAAATATAGTGCTACGCAAACAAAATCCTTTTTATTTCAAGGAAAGCACAATAATTGACCTTACAGTTTTATAGCTTTTATTTTATATAGCTTTTTTCTAATGTTTTTACTATTTATAAGGGTTGAAAATATTGAAATTATAGACACCTAACACCTAAGAAACAAATATCACTTAATATTACTAAATTTATAAGAATTGAAAACAGTAAAAAGAACTAAAAAAAACTAAAAGCAAACACAATAAAACTATAAGAAATAATGATTGTGTTTTCCTTTTATTTTATCATGTAATGTAATGAATCGCTGATATTAAGTCTGGAAATACACCTTTTTTTTGCTTTTAGAAAATCTCACTTAGGGCCTTAGAATATAAAATTTTGTATTTAAGACCTAATAGAATATAAAAACACACTGCCAGGTGAGGGTTTTTTTTTTTTTTTGAAAATTTTATTAGAGATGAAAAGACACATTTGTCCTTATCCCAACAGAATATCTATACATGCATAATATGATATTCGTAAATTTTTAACACAATATTTATAAATATATAATATATCTAGTGCACATTTACTTAAAATATGTTATTTGAATAAAAGTATGTTGTTTATTATGAATTTTATATTATATAAATATTGTAAGTCTATATATATTTACTCATAAATATTGTGTTGTTCGTACTTTTCTTATTTATACGTAATCATGCGCCATCTCTGTTTCTTTTCTGGAAAAAAAGAGGCAACTAGTTACTTTCGCGGGTTTATAAATATGTCGGTTTAGTTACTTTTGTCGAAGGAATGGGAAGAGAAGGCTGAGATGAAGATGCACGGGCTCATCAAGACCTTCGTCGCAGATGAACCGGGTGAGGAATGGAGCGCTGTACCAAGTGATTTTGTCCAGATATTAACGTAGAAGGAGAAGAGGGATGAGAGAGGGAGTGATAGTCAAAAATATGTTTGGTCAAGCTTCATACTTAACCGTCAACATTTGTCATATTTAATGGCTCCGCGATATTGTATAAAGCTTCGAGGCGTCCCAAAAAAAAAAAAAAAAATTAGAACACTAGCCCTCACAAATATCATGTTTGTCGTTGTCCTTTAACCTTGTATTCTTTGATAATTACATTTTGATGTAATGTAATGAAATAATGATGTAAGGACCAACTCGATACTTACAAAAAATAAGTTATAGTTAAAATTTAATTATCACCTGTTTCTTATAAATAATACATGAAGTAGTATTATTATTCTTTAATTAAATAGTTGGGTTCAATTTTTAGCCCTGGTATTAAAAAAAGAAAAACAAATATACGTGAATGAGAATACTCCTTCTCATCTTTCTTGCTCTTATATTTCATACATTTTATAACAAATTGGATATAATTTGATTTTTACCCTAAGTGTCTTAAGAGAAATTTGGCTTTCTTGTTAACATATAATCTCTTTGTTTAAAAATATAAGATATTTTTAACAGAATTACACCGCCAAATAAAATAATTACCTATTTTTAAATTAATATTATCTTTTTATATTTACCCCTATTAAACATCAGACAATAAATATAAAGTTATTCATTAATAGAGGCACTTATAAAAAAAATAATGATTACACTTTAAAATACTAAAAATATTTTACATTTTTTAACATTTAATTTTTTAAAAAATACATTATATTTTTAAACGGATGGAGTTGTTTTTGAATTATTTATACTTCAACTATTAAACTTTAACCTGGTATAAATTTTTATAGTTTTGGTTTGATTGTGAGTCAATTCTAAAATTTTAATTCGATAAAATTCAATTTCTTTAATTTTAATTGATATCTACATAAAATAGAAAACTATTACAAAAAGTACTTCTTTATGAATAATAACCGGCATTGTATGAAAAATAAGATCGAATTGGTCAACCAGCGAACCAATCCCTTGGCTGGTCCAGTCAGATGATCAGGTCGGGAATTAATTGAACAAGTTTAGCTCAGTTGAATCAAAATAAACCTAAGGTAACTCGGCCGACCTGGTGAGTTGGACAAGTCAAACCGATTGAGAGAAAAGAGCAGAAAACAAAGATGCAAGAAGAAGGAAGAAGATGCAAAAGAAAGAGGAAAAGAGTGAAAGAAAATGAAGGAATACTGATGAAGAAAGGGAAAAAAGTCAGTATATTAACTTTCATCTAAATGACCATGGCATTGCTTTAAACCTGTAACGTTTTGATTTGTTTGTTCTGCAGCTAGATCTGTTCTTGAATCAACTAATTTGCTTGTTTTCGCAGAACACAAGTGGGGAGACGAAGAAATAAAAAAATAAAAATGAAATGAAAATGATGAAGTTGAATGAAAGGTCATGTTCTTTGAATTCTGAAGTAGAGGAGCAAACGACCGACTGGGCGGATGCATTTTTTTTTTTTTTTTTTTTTTTTGGTGAAGGCCGAAAGGATGCACGGCGCCGTGAATAGAACGGAAAAAAAAAATTCATTTGTAAAGAAGAAAAACAAAAAGTTGCTGAAAGTCTTGTCAGATCAGATAGTCTGCATTTGACAAAGCTATAAAAGTATTGATCACTTAAAACCATTTTAAATGAAATGCAGATAGAGGTCTTTTTTTTTTTTTCCCCAACGGTTCTTAATTCAAATAACAAGGTTAAGTTGTTAAAAGAATAAAGATTTATCAACTTGTACGAATATAATTTTTAAAATATAATTTTTTATATTTTAACTCTTTAATTTCATTATTTTTCATTTTAATAATATTATTAATAATGAGAGAAATAATTTACTATTGTTATCTATTATTAATTATATTATTTTATTATGATTGGTTTGACCTTAATTTAACTTTCAGTTGGATTACTGACCTTTGATTCAATATCTTAATAAATTTAATGATCAATTTAATTTTTAATACTTTAATGACTTAGAATATTTTTAAAATTTTTGAGAGAAGCAAAAATGAAAGTCCTCCACATCTCTTCACAAATAGGAAACAAGTCAGGGCCTTTCTGTTTTTTCATACTTTATTACAAAAGTTCAAAAAGTATCTGTTCTTATTTTGAATTTACTTTTTATCCTCTGGTTTCTTCAATTAACCATAGTACAAAGCAAGCATCTCCTGTGCCAATTCTTCGCAGCTTTCTTTTAGAAATTAAACTTGCTTTTTTTCCTCTTCAAAAAAATTAAAAGAAAGCCTTTTTAAAAAAAAAAAAAAAACAATCGTCTATTTGTTCCTTCAAGCACCCACTTGAATGGCCTCTCACTTTCCTATTCCAAAAAATAAAAAAACTCTAGCCACATCCGAGACTAACTCAACCGGCTCCTCATCACTTCGTTCTTCTGCTTTCAATCTGCCCCTTTTGCTCACATTGCCTTCCAGCCGACCATCCCATTTTCGTTCCCACCATCGGCATTCCTAGTAGAGTTAGGAAACAAGGCGGGATGGGTGGGGTGGGCCATATTGTTAGATAAAAAGGTGTAATAGAAGATTAAAATTTTAAATTCTATATCCTAATGTAAACCAAATAAAATCATTTAAGTTAAAGTAGGAAGAAAAGTTACCTTTTTCTTTTTCATACTTCATATGCATTCTCTTCAAGACTTTGAATTTCAGGAGCTGATAATATAGATCTTTTTCCTCTACCAGTATCCACATGAACAATTTTCTAACTCGAACAGCGTGCTAGCATTTCCAGCGTCCGTTCTTCTTTGAATGTTAATTTTTCTTTCTATAGGGTGTTTCATGGCTCTCAAAATCTTTGGTCGTCAAAATTTTTCTAACTATTTTTATTGCATATCCCCTTGTATCTATTATATATAGATTGGGGTTTTTGCCTTCCTCTTGAAGAGCCAACCAAAATTTAAATTAAATTTATCTCATAAATAAAATTTATAATATTATATCTAATTTAAATTTATCTTATAAATTCAAACTATAAAACTGATATAATATTTTTCATATCATATTAGTTATGAAATTTAATATATCATATAAAATTACATTTAAAACTAATATAATCTAATCTAATCTAATCTAATATATCACATATACATATTATATATATATATATATATATATTTGAATATATATAAACACACATATATTTTGAAAATATATACACACACATTATATAATATATATTTAATTTTATATGTTATATACATATACATACACACACACACACATGAATATATATATATATATATATATTTCAAAAAATATATATAAACTTATATTTTATATTTCATATTTCATATAAATATAAATATATATAAATATTTATCAAATAAATATTTAAATATATATATATACATATATATAATTCATTCACCTTACATTGCATTCATTGAATCTAGACATATTTCAGATTCATTCAACTTGGACATTATAACTCGAGTTGGATTATTCTTGTGTGCGACCCTGTAGGCCCATATAAAGTTGGCAATAGGCTAATTATGTTATTAGCCCACAAGTCACAAGTAGTCTCTAGCAAAACATTGCAACTACCCAATTCATATGGGATCAATGATTTGATCTAACCTATCATATAATTATATCACATCCCTTTTGTCACGTGATATTTTAGTTAAGTATGAGATATGAAATTGTCATTCTCTTTTACCTGACCATTACTTTCTCGATCTTTGAGTGGACTGATTGTAACAATGAAAAAACCCTTTTCATTATAATATGGCCATATAATTCTCAATCTTACTCATCAAGGGGCCTATTAATATCTCTTAGTTAATGTGAGGGACAAATTCTATCTTAACCACTCATATTCCTCTATCTGAATATCACTAAACTCAATCATAGTTATAATG